GCTCGATACACAAATTCTGACATCGGCCTTACCGTGCTGTGGATGTGCTTTGTTTTGGAAGTACACTGGAACAATCTTTCTCCGGAGTGGGGTAACGCGGTTAGCAAGCTCAAGGGCTATGCCGTTTTCGAATCTCGAAAGTGTCTGACAAAGGCAGTAGGGCCACTCCAGCTGCTTGTGCGCTTCTGTGGCTGTAGGCGACCATCTACGGGAAACGTTCAGGCCGATGTCAGACTTTGCGAATCGCGCGATTCGCTAGCGTCTGCGGTCGCGTCGCGGCCAGTGAATCACTCAATTGGCTGGTACCGCAACGCGACCGCGGACGCTAGCGAATCGCTAGTAGCGAATTGTTCGATTCGCAAAGTCTGACATTGGCCTGGCTACCTTCGCTTGCTTTTAACTGACATTCGCTTGAACTGGTCTGCTGCTGGAAGGGCAAATATAGTTCTTCTCAACATGGCCTTTGATCTGTCTAGATTTATTGTTCATTGCTCGAAGCTAGTTCTCTCAAAGAACGCTCATTTCAAATTACACTGAAAGGAAACAGAAGGTTACCGAGAATTCCTACTGCGAGTGGTGAACTCTATTGACAGACATACTTGACACATCACATCACCTCAGAACTCGAATTTCGCACGTCTCAGCAAAAACCTTTGAAAGAGGCCGTCGGAGGCTTGAATAGTCTAGACTCTAGAGACACACCATCTCATCAATAGGCCCATTAACGGCCTCATGCGTCGTCGACGTCTAGCCGGCATTCGATGTCTTATTTAGATGAAATTGGAAACTAAAAAGCCTTATCAATATGCCGAAAACGTCTGCGTCGCAATTGAACTGCAATGAAAGATGTCGTAATTCGCTGCAAAGGCAGTTATCTTTTTCCTAACTAATTCATATCAATTTATGACGCACGTTGTAACTGCAGTTCCAAGAACTGAGGCCTGTGGAGGCTGAATTATTACTAGGAAAAAGGGGAGACGCCTTTAATTCTTAGAGACTATAACGGCTACCGCAGAGCGGACGCTTCTGTGTAAGATTCATGGGTTTCACAATGGTAAAGAGAGATAGAAATGGGAAACGGGTGTCTCTTCCTAAGGTACCAGTGAGAGTCACCGCGAGTGCGAAGTGCGCGATTGCCGCGAACTCATTGGCTACAAGCAAGATCAATCCTAGCGTCGCTTCTTTTTTTCAATATTTTTAGTTCCCCATCCCTTTACAGTTGTCTCGATACGATCCTCAACGCCACCATCAGCATCAGGGGTTCCCCATACGACTTTCTCCGTGCCCCCCCCCCAGCCATCACCCTCAACATCTTGGCTGTTTCTATAACATTTGACTCCGAAGCATCAGTCGACCTCCAAATAAACCACAAATGCAACCTCCGTTCGAAACTTCCAAGAGATAGTTAATCGTAGTCAACCCCACATACGACCCCTCTCCCGAAATCGCATTTACGACCAGGGTCAACCCTACGTTGTTACTAGTAACAACGGGGGGGGTCGTACCTGGTTGAGTTTGTAGGAGGGGGGGTCGTATAGGTTGGGAGTTGGGAGCGCGCGGGAGAAAAATTCGCCGTTTCAGTGCGTAAAAGCGGGTAAAAGTAAGTAAAAGTAAAGAGCGAAAAGGTGGAAATTTAGGGAGTTTAGGTGAATTTTTACTGTTTTCAGAGTAGCTATACCCCCCCCCCCCCCCCCTCGACGCGGCACTTTTCGGAGGGAAAAACGTGGGCCGCGAGTTTGGGAGCTCTGTGTGATACTCAGAAAATAAGTACTATAGCGAATGGTTGGCGAGGTGTGAAAACAGGGGCGTCGTATCTAAATCCCACCTCTCTTGGGGGAGGGGGGTCGGTAGAATTTTCCACAAAGTAGCAACGATAGGACCGACCCTGTTTACGACCCGTTCGCATCTGTGCTAACGAACGTTTGACTCTGGCTGTGCTACCAACTCATCCCCATCCTTGAATGCTATTCCCCCTTACCCTCCCCCCTCCCTCATGTCTGTGTCATCCCCAGCGTCCCCGTACTACCTTTAAGTTCAGCCCTCTCGAAAAATTTTGAACTTTGAAGACGGTTCGAGACGCAAGCTCTCCAAGAATAGAGTGTTCCAACAGATGGCACTGGTGCGATCACCCGCTGTTTTAGTACTGGTTAGTTCCCACAAAGAATCCCTCATCTTCACTCCGGGAAAAAAAGGCTCCAAAGGCGAAAGCGGCCTTACTCCCTACCTTTCCAAAAGGTCACAGGCCCAGCCAGAGGTTGAGAAGATGTCGCGCGCGGTGACGCGGTAGTGCGGTCGAGCTTACGCATAGGTAGTAACACCCACAAGAACAGGTGTGACAAACTTTATTGGAATACCAACACCGGGCGCACACTACTTATGTCACTATTAACACTTACTTCTTTATACATGGAAGTTGGTTGGCCTGCAGTGCTGAAGCTCGGCGGCTCCTTAACTCGACCGCCGGCACCGCAGAAAATACGGAACATCAAAAGTCCTCGGGTCATGCGTCGTCTCCCAACGCCAACACAGGACGACCTATCCATAATTCCCCCACCCGTCCGGAGTCGGTTCACCTGGTATCAGCCCCTTGTCCTAGGAGGCCCAATAACACCATAGTAGATCGGCCTGGCCCCCGCAAAGTCATCTTGTATTGCCACATCGCATTCCCAATGTGGCCACTGTGGCGATTCTGAAATGAATGTATAATGCGTGGCAGGCAATCACCTAAACGGGTTTTGACTACAACTGTCCGGCTGTTTAATTCCTTAATCCTCTAACAATGCGGGGAAATGTAATTCTCCCAAAGGACACCTCTCATGGTCACCACGAACAGGATATCTTAGTGAAAGAAGTGTAGGTAGAAATGACATACTCGAGCAAACCTCGTAGGGTACGCCATGCCTTCGATTTCCATTCGAAAATCAACGAAGACGCGCCCTTGGCCTAACAGTGACTTCCGAGGGTCCAGCTGTTTCTCTTTATGAGAGCAAATTGGCTGACACGGTTAACTGACCCCGGCAGCATGCACGGCTTCATTGGCGCAGGTGCAACCCGATCCAGGCGAGTGCAACGCCGTTTCCCCATTCATTGTGCCATGAATGCCTGTTCAGCCACCAATTCAGCAGCTAGTTAAACTTTAGAGCTTTCATGCCCTAGTGGATTTCTATGAATGGTGCAATAGATGGTCTCCAACACCCTATCCCACCCTTCATTATGCGTGTTGACTCCCCAATAGTACATGATTGGGCGAGAATCCCTCGGAAATTGGAACCCGAGGGCAGTCAAAGCGCTGGCATTTCGCCAACGGAACAAGGATGCCGTAGGAGGTCCCATATGCGGCTTGGGAGGACGTCTAGGAGATATGACTATGACCAAGTGCCTCCCCCAGACAAACAGATTATTCAGGTCTAGCGCTCACCTTTTCCCCTTTTTATGGGCAATATGTTTACGTTCATGGCCTACCATGTGGTTTTGTACTGTTGCTCCGAAGCACGAGTACCGTAACGTCAGACACATGGCAGATCACGAGCGCAGATCGTGCCGCCCTGCCAGCCGTCTGCCCTGCGCCGCCGCCGCCGCCGCCACCGCCACCAATCGACGTTGCCCTGCGTCCCTGACACACCCTGGCCTCTCTGCGCTCCGGCTGTACTTGCGATTCCTCCTCCTCAGTCAGTGCTCAGAATCGTTACATGAATGCCCGCCAGCAGGAGTACCGTCTGGTTCGTTTACTTCAGTTTTTTCTAGACGAAGTCTTCTTCAAATCATCAGGAGTCAATGAACGAGAAGCATTACAGATAAATCGCTTTTCAGAGCCTGGAAATCCGCCAAGTTAACGACGCTGTCTCCTGTATCTTCCATTCGCTTCTGGCCCATAGAAGCGTTGCGAAGGTAGCCAATTAAATCTAAGTTGTAAAAGTAATCGTTTCAATATGGTCATGCGGGGCTGCAAGTTGTTCTGTTCATGCTAATGGCTTTCGAATGATGTAAGTAGTACGAAAAACGCTGGAAGGGTTTTTTTTTGCTTTAAACTCGCAACCAACTGGATGGTGACAGTTGCTGAAAAGTGTTTCTTGGTCGGTACCCTGTTCCCAGAAATTGAACGTTGTGAAGTAGCTAGACGCGTTTCGACGGCTGCTAACGTCATTCCGTTTTCATTCCATTTTTCGATAGCGTGTCCCTTTCGACGAAACGTCATAGGCTTTTTGAGCTAGAAAGTGCTTCTGCTGAACTTCCTTCGAAAATGAATGTTTTTATCAAGAAATGACATTCTGCAACAACTCTAACAATTCTGTTCGCATATCGATGTTTCGCAGTCACGTAACGACAGCCGTAACGATTTTCTCTTTTTTTCAGTTCCAATACAAGGGCGATTCGAACTATTCATTAGGATCGCTTGGCATTAAAGAAGTTGAATGCGAGAACATCGATTTGACCTATGTAAGTTCGCTTCCATTCTATGACTTTTGCCCTCCTTTCATCGAGGGGGTTACCTGAATACTAATCTCTGATGCTGGTCGCTCATTTGTACGGTACTTCCTTGTGATCGCCGTCAATTCTAACAAATTGGCAGGAGGTGCAGTCCTATTTGTGAGGAGAGAGTGTGTGCATTAGCGAGACCACAGCTGTGTAGTGTCAGCTGATCAGCGCTGACTGCGGCCACCGCGTGAGCTGCACGTGAGTGCCAAAGGTCGCAAGAACTTGGTGAGCGCAGGCGCACTTTTTTCCAATACGCCTTCGTAGGGATCTCAAGGCCGCCCAAAAAGCCAGCGCCGTCGTTTTCGTTTTCTTTAGTGATGGTGATGACGAAAGCGGAAGACGCTGACAATCCACAATGGGCTTGCTAAATTCATTGGTTGATGCTTGTTAGGCCATTTTACGTGGATTTTGTGATCTGCTAAGCTAAAAGCTGAATGAATTTGAAGTCGTGTAAAAAGTATCCAAGCTTTATCAACCCAAAACTGACATCATTTAGCACCACTATATATTTTGTAAAGGTAATCTTAAAATGCAACTAGCCAATCGTAAAGCACATTTACACCTCCTCTCAACCAGTCATTTCGCTGCTCACTCAAAAGTGGATACACATCACTCGTGCTGAGCGATTCGGAGAGAGACAACTTCCACCAAATAGCCCACTTCCATTTCCGGGATGACGTCACTGATCTGTCATTAGCAGCCCTGGAAGCTACGATTGTGCCTTCAAGTCAACGTAAATAACATGGGAAGTATTGTGGAAGTGTGGTGATATTGAAAAAGGGCAGTAATACCCCGTCGGAGACATTTCGTAACCGGCCAAAACTAGTAAACACTTTCCCCGTTCCCCAGCATTCATGCAGTAAAGGAATTTCAGTGTTTATATATGAATGTGCACCTTCCAAACATCGAATTTTACAGGTTAAAATCAACAGTGATGAATTATCAAATCAATTAGAGAAGGAGATTCAAGCGTTTCTTACTGAGTTGGACACCACAGTAAAGGCATCTCTACCACGAAGGCGTACACCTCTTAGTAGCCCGACGCTATCCGAAACTGCAGGTAGGTGTCTCTTTAGATTTCATCATATGTGTGACTGTGGGTGACTGAGATTCTGCCTATGTGGAATGTGAGGGATCTCCTATGTTTTCAAATTCATCTTACAATAATCAAAATCTTCTACTGTATTAGCTTGACTGCTGAACCATCCCTTTGAAAGGTTTGATTATGTTCCGTGTTCGCTTTTGATTTCCGTTTCTGGTCATGCATACCTACAGGCCAACCCATACGATTCCAATGATGTGACATTCGGGGAATTGATGCCGGGAAGGCTCTTATGTACTACCTCTGATTGCGTGACGATCTTGATCGAATATAAGCCATTTCCAGTTGCATAATAACTGAGAATAGCTGCATCACGAGTGCCTTGCATGATTGTTCAAGCGAACCTTTTTTCTTGTACGATTAACAGCGAAATTCGGCCTGTTTAATCTTTTCATTGATCTCGATTCGCACAGTTTTTCAAGGAATGAAACTCAGCAGTGGACAAAGCTTAATTAACTTCAAATAACGGGCGTTATGAAAAAAAAACGAACTCGCATCTGATTTAAAGCAATCCTTGATCGAAATGTCATTGTACGGTGAGATGCGATCAGAACACGTGATTATCATGGCATTTCAAAATTATCATGTAGGAAACATAGATGTGTTATTGCGCGTGACTGAATAACTTCCGTTGAAAGAGCGACAAACTTTGGAATTTTTTTTGTTTCACAAACCTAACATCGTAGTTTTGACGCCACTACCTCTCTAAGATGCTGATCTGAGAATGGAATGCCAAGCGTTTGTTTTGGTAGCCGTATAACATAGCCCATTTTACTGCACGGAAAAGTAGCCGGCTTCATAGTTCACTTTTTCAAAGCTCACATTGGTAGGCTTCTCGATACTCGGTCCCCCAGACATGGACCCACAAAACGTTAGCTTTTCTTAAGATATCTGTTAATGTTTTCAATCTGATGATCTTCAATTTAGCAGCTGTTATGGTGTTTACATTTTTCAATAAACATAAGTGCGCTTCTCATCTAAGGCTTGGCTCCGTTGCTTGAAAACCGATCCCATACGCGCCGTGTCTTTGTTGTCCACTGAGAAATGTCTATTCTTAAGCAGCAGCAGTCATGCATCTTACAAGGCGACGCTTTGTTTGGTTGTTGACGTTTTCAGCGCCCATTTACGAAATTCATACAAAATCATCATTTCAAGGAATATCCGAGTTATATGCGATCATAAAATTCGGCCTGTTTGTTTAATCTGTACTGAGCGTTTTGATTTATCCATAAACTCTTTCAAATAAGTTGAATTCAAGTCTATTTCATCATAGTTGTCATCTATTTCAGTTCCACTTCTGGGTGCGCAGATCAGCTTAGAATTTTTTCAACGTCGCCCGCGCCCATGGCCGTTGCCAGTCGAAGCTGTGGCGTGGGAGCGCTGGATTCTGTTTCTTGACATCTTCAAGGCTAACTCATACGGTGCGTACTTATCATCGTCTTTTGTTATATTTCATTAGTCATTACACCTTTCACCTGCAGTCTTCAACGCAAAGATTTACATGAAGTGTTAACTAAATTAGACTACTCGTCCTACCGTTACTTGGAAATGTGAAAATCTCTCATACAAACCAGCAAAAGTGGTGCATAATATCAAACTAACACTCGGAGTCTAAAGAAGACTTTTCCGCTCTATTTTTCCGCGGCGGGAATCCCAGGTCCATTCATGACCAGGGGACCTGGGGTTCCCGCAGTGAAGAAGCTTCGCGTTGTGAATGGGGAACAAGTTATTCTCTGTCCTAGCAACCCACGCACCGCTTGTCTAAGAAACCTTTAAAATGGAAACGTTCGTGGACGCTGAAGTACATTCAGTTGGAGTAGGCGATAAAGGCCTGAAAAATTGGAGAATCTCTGACCCTGATATAAGAAACTACTGCTACCAGTTGCGTTCAGTATTAAATACTTTTAACCATTCCTTTTTCTCTTCAGCTTTTGTTAAGTCAACGAGTTGAACGAATATCAGGATTTATCTGTCCAATGCAGCACTGACAGTCTACTTATGATCGTTGTTTGTGATCGAATGATAACTGGCCTGAGTTAGGATTTGGGCGAACTGTGTCTCATGTTATCCCAAATCACTCTCAGTGCAGTAATTTAACAAAAATATGAGAATAAAGTATTCGCAATTTCACCTTTGTTATTGAAGGGTTTGTTCACCCACTTTTTCACAGTGGTCGTGACGCGATCAAACATGCTTCCCGCGAATTGTGGTGTGGTACTTTTTGCATTATTGCATATGGATTCATATGATCTTTAGTTGTTTATTCTCTGAACTGCTTTTGTGCCGAATCATTTCGTCAGAGAATTGAATAATTCCAACCAAGAGTTGCTTGGATTTCAAAAAGAAAAAGAACTTGGGGTTCTATTGAACACAGTCTCTCATTCGGCAGTTCTGCAGTGTTTTTATGATTGCCTATAAGTTGCGTAGCTAGTGGAGAGGTTGTTCAATAATAAACACGGCTCAGAAATTTCAGTTTTGCTGTTACAAAACATCTTACTCTACTTACGAAATTCTTCCAGCAACGTATCTTTAGAAAATTCTTACAGGAACACCGTCTAACTGCTTTTTTGTATTGAAATCGTTGCAACATGATAGTATCATTTGAAGAGTAGTGGGCTGGGGGAGAAATGACATTCTCTCAAATTTCTCAAGAATGTTTCTTCCTTATTCTTGCTATGCGCTTTTGAAACGGCAGGAGGTTCATGCTTTTGGTTATTTCTTCACCTCAGTACAATTCACTACAGTAATTTCGAAAGACTGCAATGCCATCTATTTCGCATATTGTTTTTTATAGTGCTCTGTGAAATGCGTTCTCTGTTGTGTTGGAGATCATTTATAACATTTCAGATGATCTTGCTCGTATGCGAGTTTCGGTCGCTGAAAGTGTTGGAGAGATCGTGCTACAGCTTTGCAGTTCGATAAACAGACCGCAATATTTACCAAAAATGCCTACGAGGACTGAACTATCGAATGTGTTCGATTCAAATCTGCCGGATTGTCAGCCTTACTTATTCAAAGTGTGCCGTGTACCCATCCGACCAGGTATGTTCCGTATTTCTTCCAGTCCGTTTTTTTTGACTCGTATAATTTCGGTAAACTACTATAACTAGTTCTTATTAAATGGGATATGATGACTGAAATGTTTCAAAAAACTACAAACGGACTATTTTCCTAGATTCTTCTCTAGTGAAAAATCTTTGCTATAAGTGCTATACCTAGGAGGTGATCTCTCACTCCACTAATACGTTTTCCTTTTCAGAAACGACATCGCAGTCTGGTCTAACTGGTATGCGAAGATACATTCGTGATCTTATGATCAACTAGTTTTTGTCATTTTTCTTTTGGCTGAACATCATGGTTCACGCAAGCGTCATTGTCCCTTTTGTCAAGGAGAGGATCTATTCCACGTCATTAACACAAAAATACGGTTGCCGCTCATCTGCGTCAAGTTCCTGCTCCCGGTTTTAGGATCTTGTCTTTCCGCTTTATGCGGGTCAGCTCACTCTAAACACTTCATTTGATCTAGTTTGTTTTTCTTTGTATTTACCTAGCTATATGAGAGAGCTAGTCTGCGCTGTGCGCTCTCTTCTCACTGTGGTTTATACGTTTTGTAATTTGGAGACGGATCATGCTACCCTTGAAATTTTCACCATTTTTAGGTTTATGTTCTTGGGAGCTTTTTTTTGTTTCGTGCCTCATCTCTTCACATCGTTTTAACTGCTTCTTGTATATTGCACTTTGGTTCTTCATCTTGTACACCGTTTGCTTTCGACATGCCTACTTTTTTAGAATTTTTGTAATTTTGATGTAAATACGTTGTGTACATATTGTATTTTGCGTTTTTTGATGTTTTATACTAAATGTTTCTAAAAGATCGAATTTCTAGTACCGACATTTTGAAGCCGTTTCATCGGTTGAGGCTAACTACAATTTTTGTGCACTGCACAATTCGATTGGGTAATTGTATGTTTCGTAAATGAAGGCTGTGTGGAACGAAGTTTAAGACACACAGTTAGGTATAGTAGGTACATGAGGGTATGACAGTGACACTCAGTGATGCTTCGTGATGCGTCTTGTACAATTATAAAAGCTGGCACTCATTATCAGCGCATCAAGGCCCTTTTTCGAGTTCTAATACAGTGAAGCAAAAAGGAAACGCTTTGCACGTGCTCCTTATCGTCAATCAAATTTTTTGTTGCAAGGGTGTCACTGTTGATTGAAGTTGTCAGGAAAATATTCCTGGAATGTTTTTTCCAGAAGTAGAGGCGAGCCCTTGGTCTTTGCCCTCGTCCTCTTCCTAATGTGAGGCCTTTCTTCCATTTTGACAAATAGACGAAGGGCGGTGGCACTTCAACTCAAAGCAGCGGCCTTACTTCCTTGATCGAGCTTAAAGGCAAAGTTCGGGCTCAGACCCACCTAAGAAGCCCTTACCATGGCTAGAAGTGCTGGGTACGCAAGTGCAAAGGTAGCGCCACCTTTCTACATCGAAACGCGTCACTAGGACCCTAGGCGCCATGGACTTCTAACAGACTCCACCAAACTTAACATGGTCCGCCCACCGTTCGATCTTGTCTTGCCTGCGTACTATATCTGATCTGCTGTCTTAAACTTCGTTCCACACAGCCTTCATTTACGAAACATACAATTACCACAATCGAATTGTGCAGTAAAAATTTTTTTTTTTTTTTTTTTTTTTTTTTTTTTTTTTTTTTTTTTTTTTTTTTTTTTTTTTTTTTTTTTTTTTTTTTTTTTTTTTTTTTTTTTTTTTTTTTTTTTTTTTTTTTTTTTTTTTTTTTTTTTTTTTTTTTTTTTTTTTTTTTTTTTTTTTTTTTTTTTTTTTTTTTTTTTTTTTTTTTTTTTTTTTTTTTTTTTTTTTTTTTTTTTTTTTTTTTTTTTTTTTTTTTTTTTTTTTTTTTTTTTTTTTTTTCTTTTTTTTTTTTTTTTTTTTTTTTTTTTTTTTTTTTTTTTTTTTTTTTTTTTTTTTTTTTTTTTTTTTTTTTTTTTTTTCTTTTTTTTTTTTTTTTTTTTTTTTTTTTTTTTTTTTTTTTTTTTTTTTTTTTTTTTTTTTTTTTTTTTTTTTTTTTTTTTTTTTTTTTTTTTTACCTCAACCGATGAAAACGGCTTCAAATGTATCTATAAATTCGATCTTTTAGAAACATTTAGTATAAAACATCAAAAAACGCAAAATACAATATGTACACAACGTATTTACATCAAAATTACAAAAATTCTAAAAAAGTAGGCATGTCGAAAGCAAACGGTGTACAAGATGAAGAACCAAAGTGCAATATACAAGAAGCAGTTAAAACGATGTGAAGAGATGAGGCACGAAACAAAAAAAAAAGCTCCCAAGAACATAAACCTAAAAATGGTGAAAATTTCAAGGGTAGCATGATCCGTCTCCAAATTACAAAACGTATAAACCACAGTGAGAAGAGAGCGCACAGCGCAGACTTAGCTCTCTCAT